ACACACACACACACATATACATACGTGTGTGTGTGTAACTGTGGAGAAATTGCATTTGGTGCAGGTTGAGTTCAGCAGTCTGACGGCTGAAGGGAAGAAACTGTTCCTCAGCCTGGTGGTTTTGCTTTGGATGCTCCTCAGCCTCCTGCCTGAGGGGAGTGGCTGGAACAGTCTTTGTGCAGGATGGATGGAGTCCTTCATGATGAGGAGCGTCCTCCTCCTGCATCGTGCTGTATAGAGGTCCATGGTGGAGGAAAGGCTGCTCCCCATAGTCCTCTGTGCAGCCTTGACCACCCTCTGCAGAGCCATTCTCTTAGCAGCGGTGCAGTTGCCATGTCACACGGTGATGCAGGTGCAGAGAACGCTCTCCACCACACAGCAATAAAAGCTCCTCAGGACTGAGCTCCCAAGTCCAGCTCTCTGCGGCTTCCTGAGGAAGTAGACACTGGTGGGCTTTCCTGACCAGATAGGAGGTGTTGGTACTCCAGGTGAGGTCACTGGATATGTGCACACCCAGATACCTGTACCTGGAAACCATCTCCACAGCTGCTCCTCCGATGTACAGGGGCTGAAGAGGATTCGTGTCCTTTCTGAAATCCACCACCATCTCCTTGGTCTTCTTCACGCTGATGCAGAGGTTTTTTTTTTTTGCATCAGCACCACTGCTCCAGGTGTTCCACCTCTTCTCTGTATTTGGACTCATCAGTGTTCGTGATGCGTCCCACTACTGCTGTGTTGTCTGCAAACTTCACAATATGACAGCTGGGGTGTCTTGCCGAGCAGTCATGTGTCAGCAGAGTGAGGAGGAGGTGGCTGAGCGCAGCTCTGCAGGGAGCCAGTGCTGAGGGTGAAGGTGTTGTGGATCCTGACTGTCTGAGGTCTGTTGGTCAGGAAGTCCAGAATCCAGTTCCCCAGTGTGGAACTTAGTCCAAGAGAGGAGAGCTTCTGCACCAGGGATGATGGTGTTGAAAGCTGAGGAGAAATCCAGGAAGAGCAGACAGGAGAGCAGTAGGAGTTTGTGGGTGAGGGCTATGTGGATCACCGATGAAATGGCGTCAGCAGTGGTTCTTCCTGATGGGGGTCCACAGTGACGTTGATGGAGTCCTTGATGTGGATCATGACTAGCCTCTCAAAGCACTTCATGACTCTGATGTTAAGGATATAAGGCCGGTAGTCATTCAGGCTTGTCACTGTGGAGCACTTGGGGACAGGGATGATGGTGGCGGTCTTTAAACAGGTGTGCAGAAAAGACAGTGAGGTGTTGAAGATGTCTACCAACACATCAGACAGCTGATATGCACATATACATTACACCTCATATACTTGTGTAACCTCATTACACAAGTACATGAGGAGAGCATACTACCAAGTGTGAATAATGTATATTGTATTGTACATAAGGTACCTGGAGATCTATATTTCTAACAGGCTGAAAAACGCAATAAAATTGTATTGCATTACTGAAAGTAATCAAAAAGAATCTCAAAATGAGGAAAACTATCACCATTTCTCTTATGAGTGCCTGCAATTCTCTAAAATAAACCACATTTTCTCCATGATACCAGGTAATCTACTCCAGACTTGGATAAAAGTTTGACTGAAGCATCTCAAGACTTTTAGGGACATACAAATCTTCAAGCACGAGTTTTAAAAAAGTACAGTAGTCTTTTTATCTTGTGGACAAAAAAACAAACCATTTATGTTAACAGAAGACACGTACCAGATAAATCTTTTAGCATCATTCAAAAATTCAAATGAGAATATATGCTCTCTGAAAAACATTATCTTCTCTGGTGACCTTCACATTCTGGCAGCCAGGCTCACTATGAGAAGGTTTGTTCAGCCAGATAAACGAAGAACTGACACTATTCAAAAAAGTTTTATTCACAAGAATAAAAAAAGTTTTACATAAACACTTTTACAGATGTCATCCATATTAGTAAAGTTTATTTGTACAGTACATTTCAACAACAGGAATTTCAAAGTACATTACATGATAAAACATGACTGTAAAACATTAACTGTAATGTGAATTTTACCCAACTCAGAACAAAAAAAAAATTAAACTATTGAGCAGATGTAGTGGGTGGGTTAGTGCTTACGAAAAACTTCAGCTTAGAATAAGGTAGGAGCATCTTCATATGAATTATGGGAAAGCAGCCAGAATGAGCAGCAATAGTTCTTCCTCTGTGCTCCGGAAAACTTTGTTTCATTTTGAAATTTTAATGAAAAATACCCAGTTTAGGAGGATTATGCAACACCTTTTCCAGAGCAAAACAGGATTTGCTCTGGAAAAAGGCTGACAGATATCCCTGTGTAACTAGTTTAATAATGCTTCTTTCTACAACAATCTAATGTTGTAGATTGCCCTTCAACACTACAGTGTTGTCCATAATTTTTATAATTTTTATTTCATATAATGTGAGCAAAGACAAATGTATCTTCCCTCTCCCAATCTGTACAGAGCAGCAGGCAGTCTGTTGTGAGGTTTAGGAAACGGCAGTCATGACATCACCAAGAGTTCTGTTATTTGAGAGTTCGGCAGGTCATAATAGATTCTGCTCACATCAAAACTTTTTCTGTATAGTTTTAAGTCCTGTGGAGCAAATTCATCATGTTGGCCTGTCCACACTGTGAGCGTGTACCTGTGCAGGAAAGATGGGTGTTAGCAACATCAGGTGAAGAGTCGCTGGCAGGATTTCTAATGATGTGCAAAGAATGAAGATGTTTAAGAAATTTTGTCAGACAAACTTCAGCCACTTTTCCTCCAAATCCTCAGAGCAGAACTCCAGCCTCTGCTTTCAGGCAGACAGCGACAGGTGTACTGGCCAGACTAACCACCAGCTTACCATGTTCTTTGTGTGCGTGCGTGTAATCACCTGTCTGACTGTTGCAGCAGCCAAGATAGCTGGGAGAAGGACTGAGCCAGCAGCGCAGCACGAACCGGGAAGGTGACAGGATGTTTCAGATCTCTGCTCTTCTCCTCCATGGCATGCACCATGTCCCAGCTGTAACCTGGACAATCCCAACACAAACAACACCATTTAATCTCCTGGCCAGAGAGCTAATTGTGTTTCTAACATCTAATCAAAGCCACAATGAATATTAAGCACACTGATGAAACAACAATTTAATGGATTTTCTATTTAGCTAAGCTGTCATAACATCAACATGGCCTGAATGTTTTCCTGCTGTTTGCAATCCTCATTCTTTCCCTGTTAAATGTTGACCAAATCTCTTCCTTCAAGACTGAGAAAATAGAGTCTGCCAGAGTCAGGAAAATATGGAAACATTTTGGAATAATGAACTACATCAGACAGTTAAATCCAAATTTCAATCAGGTACCAGTACAGGCCTTAAACTTGCTGTATAATGGGACAATAAACATTGTGGTATCTCTGATATCAGCTCAAATATCTCCTCCTTGTAGCTTTGCAGATCTAGTTTAAACAAAGCTTCCATTTAGTTTCTGTTAATAAAAAAGTGGCTGAACTCATCTCAACCTTTACTTCCTGACAACAGTATACCCATCATACTTCTGTTTCAAACCTCTTTTAATTTCCTGGCTTAAGCTTCTAGATCAGTGTTTCTCAACCTTTTTCGGGCCAGCGCCCCCCTAGCCTTTATCCAGGTCCCTCACCGCCTCCCACTTTTATTTTTCAGTGGAAAAAAAAAGTTCCAGGTCCTTTTAATGCCATACAAATATGAGACAGAAACATGTATTATATCTTTATAATATAATCCATGTTAGACATGTCTATTGATTTATAGCTTAATAGTTTTACTGGACAGAAATTACAAAGAACAAATATGGTTCTTAATCAAATCCTAATGAGTCAAATTGAAAGTATCATGGAGTCACCAGCC